TGAGGATCAGGCGGTGTGCTGAGAACGCTTGATAATCGCGTGCATGGTGGTCATCTGACCTTTTTATCTAATCACCATGTTTCTTGCCATATCTTACAGAAAGAACATCTAAAAAAGAAAAAGCGGCATCGGCGAGACAGTGACAGCAGTACCAGTGACAGCGATAGTAGCAGTAATTCCTCGGGATCACCCTCTCCGCTGGCCCCGACTGTGCGGCGTCCATTTGATAGGGATAAAGATTTGAAAATTTCCCGCATGGATTCTTCAGCTCGCCATGCACTGATTGAACGCTCAAAGCAATTGTCCAGTCGATTTGGTCACGGTTCCCGGCAGTTTTTGTGAACTGGCGAACAACTGAACACGCAGTGTCCGGTTCTGATCATGTCTTGTTGTTCCTCTCGTATTCTTGCACGTGTATATACTTGTTATGTTGTGTGCTTTCTGGCTTCCTGTTGAACATCCCAAGCCGAAATTCGCAAACCAGGTAGACTACTAGATCATCAGCTTTGTTTGCATCGTCCTGAGCGTCACGGGTTTGTTCTCCTTGATTCAGGATTGGTTTCTTCGACAGATGGAATTTAGCACTGAGTGTTACTTAGTTTCATTGTTGCGGTAGCTCGGCTGCCTATTGACTTGGTTCAATATCATGCTGCGGCTTGAATTGGTGCTTAAAGGAAAAAAACATACTATTCCGTTATGGGTATCGGCTATTTAAACCCTGCAAATAGGACTGCTGGATTACACGAAAACCCAATAGAATAGGCGTATTATTCTTCCGGACGACAATTGCCTCAACCGAAGTAAGATAACCATGGCAAGGTTCCAACCTGAAACTCCAAGTCTCGTCGCATACGTCTCATTTGGTGGTGGTGGCGCATTGGTTTAGTCGTTGTCTCAGGCGTGCTTTGGACCCTATGGTCCGAGGTTCGAGTCCCACCACCGCCACCCAACTTTGGTGGTAGACAGGTTTGCCATCTTCCGGTTCACTACCACGCCTAACCTAATGGGGTCTTATGTGGTTCACCACTCCAAGCCCCAGGGCTTAGGTTACGGATTTCCATGATGGAGCAGCAGGCCTTCGTGACAATGGGATTCGCCCCGTCTGCTGTTCACCATGCAAATGTGTGTAATAAAAAATCATCCATCTGCAATATTTGTGCGAGAGTTATTCTTACCGGTTTCGTTAAATTCTGTTGCACTGAAGCCTGTTGGGAATAGAAGCAAAGGATGATGAGAACAGAAACAGGAATCGTATTTCTGTACAACAAAGACAACATCTATTTGTTCTATTTCTGGTTAGTTATATCGATCACTGCTGCTTGAGAGACTAGTGGTCACTTGTTTTACGCGCACATTCATTCATACCTGTAACTTTGCCTTCCTACACAAATGCATATTTAGAAAAATCCTCATTTTTTGCTTCTATTTAATGGGTAACAGTAGACGTCTGTCTTGGTCAATCACAGGTTGTGAGGAACAACTAAAATACGTCTCTGCTTGCCTAATGTGCTTCACGTCGTGTATATGGGACATATATAAATACCAGCGGGTGAGTGGAGGTCAATGCCGTCGGGTGCGTCCAGATACTTGGAAATGGAGGCACTTGGCGATGAATAAGTTGCGGTGTACTGCCACAAATTCCGTTCAGACAATTTTTAGTTAAACTGTATTAAACACTTCATTGCGCTCTTTGATGTGATAAACTGGTTGTCAAGGTTGCGCCCCCCCCCCATCGACAATTATCTTTGCCCAGTAAAGTTTAGACTGTGCCCCGGGCGAGTATAAACCGATCTAAAAAGCTATCTGTTCTTGATGCCTTCTGCTTGATGTAAGGGAAGAACGATTTCATCAGTAACTAAAAGAAATCCTTCGAAAGACCACTAAGGCAACTGCTGTGATGCATCCTGGAAACTTGAATGCTGCGATTGCTTGACAGCTCTTTGAGATGGCACCCTTTTGGTTTCAATCCTAGCCGGTTGTATAACAAAGAGCGCCTACAAGTCTGTGCCTATCAGGATCTCTGTAATGTCCACCAAACTCCGGCATTCTGTCACACGGTGATCTCCAACCCCCTGTTACTCAAATCGTTCACGTTCCAGTGAGTCATCGATGAACAGACTGTCCTACCTGTCATAAAGGTGGAAAACTGTCTCATCCGACCAAATGCTATCTTCAACCAATGATAGTTGTGTTAGCGAGGCAAGTTTCAGTTATTACAACCGTTAACCGTGCATTTACATGTGCTGGTTTTGGTTGCAATTTCATGACTACCCAATTGGATAAAAGCAGAAAACACGTTGCAGTGTTTCTAGTGGAGTCCAAGTGAATTCAGACGGACTAAGGTTTTAAGGATATTGGGTAGATGCACGAGTGCCATTGTTTGCCACACAGCCATATCACTCAGTGTCTCTAACCACCATGATCCTGAGGTCGCCATGTAGGAATTCTCACGCGCCCTATGTGATCAAGTGTCCTAGTCAGGGTTTTCACACATCAGGTCTCAGTTTTACCATCCTTGACGTTTTCAACCCAACACCTGCCTCAAAAAAGGCACACGCCGTGGCAATCTATTTGGTGACGCGCGCAGCACGTCCTAACCACTTGCTCCAATGGGTGACCGCGGTTACCTAAAACTGCACTTATTCGGTCTCACCACCAGACTCGTGCAATGCGGCATAGACAACGGTGTTCGAAGAGCGACGGTTACCCTCTATATTTTTTCTCAATAGCCAGATCTCTGCGCCGTGTAGTGGAACTGGCCGAACTGCTGCAGCATACCCTTGTCCCTTCACAGAGAGCCGGATCTCGCAAAGGCTCTGTATGCGTGCAGAGATTTCAGGCGCGATGCGTTTGCCGGGGAAGTGTAGCTGCCCAACTGTCAACATCTCTTCACTACCTCTAATACTTATTCGTTTAGGGTGAGGTTGGTAGCTGGACCAACCTATCCTTGTAGCAACATTTTACACTTTGAAGGTGCAAACCGCATACCAAACATAAATACAGTACTACTCAAACTATGCACAGATGCTTGCAACTTACTTGGGTCTTTTCGTAGTAGCACAATGTCGTTTGGAGACTCTAGATCAAGCTGACTACCACCTGGGGACAAATCGATGCAACTATCCTCGCGCGAGGGTGGTTACTTCCATAATCAAATGTATAACGAAGTTAATGAGGAAAGAAGAGAGAGGTACCCCGATAAACACCGCTTTCCGTTGTGAACTCCGGAGTGTAGCAATGTCATTTCGGTGATTAGAATAAAGAGGTCGCAAATTTGAAACAAATTTCAAATCGAGAAAGACAAATGCTGTGTCTGTATGCGTAAATTTGTCGAAAGGTGAAAATATGGCCCATACAACCTCGACCATTTCTAACACGAACCTGGTTCTCACGTGTGCACCGTTCACTTGCTGCGTGCAATCAATGGAGTATAACACCAGCGAGAAACTTAGAGACAGTGTTGATTAAATCAATTCCCCTGTGGTTTTCATAAGAGAATCTGTCACCTTCCTTGTAAATCGGCAAGACGCCCGATTCACAGCATTCAGTTAGAATCTGTTCCGTCGCTCATATTGATCCAAGGCGTTTCATCAAATCCAACACCAAAGCCTGGAGACTGTTCATCTTGGGCGGGCGCGAGCCTTCTAATGAATTACGAATACTTCTCCCATTGTCGAGTGGAGGCCTCAGGTACCCACTCCTACTTCCATCAAGCGGTGCTTTTTTACCGGTAAACTGCTCCTCCCCGTGTTTATTTGCTGGAATGACCTCTCCAGGGGCTTGAGTGGATAGTTTTCGGGGCCGGGATGCGCCCAAGCAGCCGGTCTTCTGAGCCCAATCTTTGTGGGGCCTCTGAACATTTGATTTTCAGGCAGTATCGGATCTGAGTCTATGAAAAGCCATCCTGTTTAGCTCATACGGTCATGGAGGCACGCAAGCCACCACACTTCGCCAATGTGCAGTCGTGTCTTAATGGATTTGCAACTTGAGTCGGAAACACAACAAATTCCACAAGTTTCGACTAATGCGGTTCCCTCATCGCTATTTCATGAATAAGTATACCCAATGTGCTTAACAGCTTGCCGAGTGCCAGGTTTGTGGTTGAATGCACTGGCATTTTTACATTATTTTCCAACTTCTCCCCGGTAGCTGGCTTCTTTCTGAGCTGAACAAAATGCACTTCGCTATTTTTGAATTTGATAAGGCCGCTTTTCACTTTGTTTGGGTGGAATTATTCCCCATAAACTCAGACCTAACACTTTCACCCAGACCAAACTCTCTTAGTCACCAACCATTAGGTCCATCTTTCACTAACTGACAACTGTGACTTGTTTATCACGACAAACCAGTAGACTTACCCTCGCCAGGTGCACAGACGATTCAGAGGTAGGTTTATGGGATACGATCCTATTTGGCGTTTGACCCAGTTCCGCCGAATTAAATTGCAAATGAACCACGGCTAAAATTTTCTACTCTACTGATCTGTTGAATCAACAAGATCATTTGCTCCAACCATCGTCGAAAAGTAAGTCCTGTTGCATCTGAGCTCATACGAGCTATCGCGAGGAATTCATTTACAGTCAGCACTAACTGAAAAACTAGTTCTTGCGTCAGCGTCTACGAAGGGGAATCGTGACTCTTCTATTCAAATTGGTGGAAGACGTAACAAATTTGCTACATTCTCACTCGTCAATATATTACGGAACCAAACCCAGAAGCGTATGCAGAAGAAAAGGCATACCCGAACTCTTGTTTCTAGAACGATCGTCTATGTGTACCAAATCAGATTTGATCTACCAGTTGCAGTTTGAGTGCCACCTGCGTAGGCAGAACAGTAAGGCAATAGCATAATTGGGTCTCAGATCACATCGCCATAAGGGCTTGAAATGAGTTTCTTTCGACGGACCAACTCATCCGGATTCTGGCATGAGACCTCGAATGGAAACAACACTGGGTTTATCAATGCGCAAGCATTTGTAAATGACGCAACAGCTTGTAGATTGCGAGAGAGCTCATTTCTGACAGTATTGAAAATCGGTTCTTGTAGCTCGGGTGAACTGAATTCTATTTCGCCTGTTCGCTGAATTTTGCAATTGATTTGCAGACGTTTCATCACCAACCAAGGTGACATCATATAATATAAGGTGACATAGTCAGCGCTTGCAAACCCGTGGAACTATGCGTGCAGACGTACTTCAAATTCAAGGATGAAATCTACGAACAACTGAAGGGGACAACAATGGGATCACTAATTTCTAGATTCATAGCCGAAGCCGTAATGCAAAAGCTGGAAAAGGAGATTCTTCCAAGAATCATGCCAAATCGTTGGCCCCGATACGTTG